CATATATATATATATATATATATATATATATATATATGTATACAGTTTTGACAGTTTATCAAGTGAATTCGCAAGTTTAAACCGACACATTTTAAACTGCAACTAAACCATTGTTCAAGGCATTGTGAATTTTCACCTTACTGTTGGACGTATTGTAACATTGACTAACATAGTTTCAACAGAAAAAAAAAAATCCATAATTTGTTTAGAAAATGTCATCGAATCCATCTTTAACATGTTGTACGATCGAAATAATCAGTGTGAGCCATTTTCCAAAAAATCACGAAAAATTTGGATTCGTAAAACCTTCACCAACCAGTATTTTTCATTTAATCCTGACGTTATTCAGTTAAAACCTTTGTATATATTACGCGTTCTAAAAGTAAAAGGCTTATAGAAGCTGACATTTTTTAACATCTTTACTGACGTTTTGTTGGTGACTGCATATTTTTTACACTATCAGTACGCACAATTTAGTGCTCGTTTTCATAACAAAAAAATACTTTTTGTTTCGTTTACAGTGTCAGTGTACCGGAGATACAGAACCTCACGACGCAAGTAGAAAGACTTGTTAAGCTCCAGTACCAGACTCTGGGAAAGTAGGTGACGCTTTGATCGTTATTACTTATTCTTCTTCACTTTTACTCGTAGTTTCTTATAACTATAAGAATCAAGATTAGTTCGATGTGAGCGGCAGTTTGAGCTTGTATATAATTTAGGTTTGGAACTTTTTTTAAGATTTGTGGTTTATGTAGTCGCTATACCAGCCATCCAAGTAGATAACAAACTACGATAACCGTTGTCATGACTGTGGTAGTGTTTTAGGCTTAGACTAGATTATTGATTTCTGGTAAATTTAGATCAGAGTTTAAGTTCAAGTGAGACTTCACTGCTTTTCTCGTTGATTATCTGGCTTTTCTTGCATTTCGATTTTTTTTTGTGTGTAAACATTTATGTTGATTTTTAAACGTAAAAACTTTACACGAAACTGCTTCGTTTAAAAAAGTCGGGGCCTGAGTGTCATTGTTTAGCTATTTTTATTTATTTATAATATTTGGTCATCAATTTAAAAGGCTGAACCTAATTATTCATGAGAATTATAAGTTAGTAAGTTCTAAACTATATATATACACACACACAGTATCAGAAATAGTTATGGAAACCTATAAACTAAATGTAATAACAAAGAATTGGCCAACTTGTCATTAGTACAATACATTATTACAGAAAATATAAAAGAACAACGATAAAGTTGTACAATGCACTAGGATTTTGTGTTTGTTTTAACAACATGTTTTTATGCTATACTGTATGTTTATCAAAGTATTCTGGTAACTCAAGGATAATCACAGCTCATATTCATTCCACCTCCGCCAAAACAAGAGGATCGTGGATCATATATGAGAAGGACAGTTGTGGTGATTGGTGCAGGTGAAGATGAAATAAAAATAAAGCTTTATTGATGGAGACAGAAACTGGCTGATTGCTTATAATTGTAGGTTTACAGCAGGGTAATGACGATAAAATGTAAAATAAGCAATGGATAAAACTCAATTGGAATAAACGAATGAAATCAGAAATGATTGTGTTTTACCACACGAAAAGGAAGATGAAAAATACTTCTTACCATTAGAGGGGATTAAACAGAACACGATCAGCAGCTACAGGAACAGAATAAACCACTACAGGCCCTCACGACAGAATAAACCACTACAGGCCCTCACGACAGAATAAACCACTACAGGCCCTCACGACAGAATAAACCACTACAGGTCCTCAGGACATAATAAACCACAACAGGACCTCACGATATAATAAACCACTACAGGCCCTCACGACAAAATAAACCACTACAAGCCCTCACGACATAATAAACCACTACAGGCCCTCACGACATAATAAACCACTACAGGCCCTCACGACATAATAAACCACTACAGGCCCTCACGACAGAATAAACCACTACAGGCCCTCACGACAGAATAAACCACTACAAGCCCTCACGACAGAATAAACCACTACAGGACCTCACGACAGAATAAACCACTACATGACCTCACGACAAAATAAACCACGACAGGTCTTCACAACGATTTCTGACTCCCTCTGATCAAGAAACGAACTTTCCCAAAAGTTGGAATGAATCTCTCTTGAGAGCACCAAAAACTGCCATCATGAAGCACATTTTATTTGTAGTGGCCAACCAGAACACACGTCACCATGCAACTTTTCATCGAAAAGAAGAGCAGGATTCCTGGAATAGCCAAGCTCCAAAAAGCAACTCCTCCAGTTGGATTTTTACACATGACCTAAACTGGATGTAGCATATCCCAAATGATATCTTTAGAAAGACTTCTGTAAATGAAAAATAAGATGTGTAATGTGTGCACTTTATAGTATGATTGTGAAATATTGTTCTAAATGTGTGATGCTACTCCCTACAATTCAGCCAAGGTTTTTGGTGTCTCAGTTACCCAAAGTTTGAAGCGCATTTTTGCATTAATGATTCGTGAATCATGAACCCTTGGATTCATAGTCTCGAATCACTTACTGCTAGCTCACGACCGGCTTCTGTTGGTTTGTACTTGGCCAGGTGGTTAGGACTTTCGACTCGCAATTTGCAGGTCGTGGGTTCGAATCCCGCCCTACCAAACATGTTTGCCCTTTAAGTCGTGGGGGCGTTATAGTGTGGCCGTCAATCCCACCTTTTGTTGGTAAAAGAGTAGCCCATGAGTTGACGGTGGGTGGTGATGACTAGCTGCTTTCCTTCTAGCATTTCACTGCTAAATTAGAGACGGCTAGCTCAGATAGCCCGCGTGTAGTTTTGCGCAAAATTCAAACCAAACCAAATTGTTTGGTTGTGAGGTTTCATATCTCCTCTTTATTCGTACGTCTTCAAAATCATAAGTGCCCCCCCGTTAGGACAGCGGTAAATCTAAGGACTTACAACGCTAAAATCCGGAGTTCGATTCCTGCGGTGGACACAGCACATAGCCCAATGTGGCTTCGCTCTATAAAACCAACAAAATCATAATTTAAAATAAAATGCTTATGCAATTTAAGTTTTGTGTTGGATAGAGTAAAATCTTGTGTAATGGTAAATCATCTCTGATGTCTGCGAAATTTTATTTTTGATTAACATACATTTTTTTACCACCAAGGAAATTTTGATGGTTCTTTCATACAGATAATTCAGGTATTACTGTTAGTGCATTTACTTGATAAAAACAAAATAGAACAACATTAGGTTTAACAAAACCTCCACGTTTTCGAAACAGATGTGGGTGTTCATTGTTCGATGTTATAGCCTTAAGATGTAATTTCGACTGACACAAACAGTTTGTTATAGATAGAACCAACATTATCAAGCGCGTCAGCCCGTGTTCTGATTTCAGTAGTGCACGTGCGGGCCAAGAAGGATTATTCACTGCATTATTGAAACCCATAAGTTCGATAGAACCTTTATTGCCTTCCGCAATAAAACCACTTCTTGTCGCTGAGACATACTGGAGACAGGAGATAATGTAGAACAAGCCACGCCACTATTGCCAAGGGTTTATGGGTTACGTTTTCAGAATGGGGGATACGATAGCGTAAATATTGAATGGTGGCCTGAACTCGAGCCCCTTCAAGTACCGTTTTGCACAGGCAGCAAAGGAAATGTGGCTGCCACGTGCTTGGAAATGGTGTTCTCTCGTAGACTCGTCTCCAGTTGTAGCAGTACTTATAAGTGTTGCTACGGTGAATCGTAAGAAAGATTGAAGAATATCAAACTTCTGAAGATACCACGTTTTGTGGCAAACAGGATCTTTTATCGACCTTACAACCCTACAAATGAAGAAGGCCTAACTCGTCATATAAAGTACCCGTGCAGAAAAGTTCGACATTGTTGAAATCTGTACTTGTGTAAAGTGTTTTCGTATTCCTTGTAATAAGACTGTGTATATATGTAAATCAGCCCATATATTTGTATGTAATTGTCATTAGTTATAAATGTACATGTATATAACCATTCTTTACTGTGCAATTAGTATATATATATATTGTCTTACTTAAGTACTTCAAACTTTACTTTTTCAAATTCTCAGGTTTGATCAACTAAATGGCAGCTGACAAGAGAAGTAAACTTAAAAAGTTAATATTTGTCTATCTATTTTGTTATTGTTAATTTATGTTACTTTACATGTAATGGTTTGTATAAAAGAAATGAAGACAACATGTAATACTCAACACTCATCTTCCTTTATTGAATCATTAATTTTTAGGAAAAATACTTTATTAGAAATTCTGACTTTTTCTGTTCAAAAGACTTGTGCTCTGGCATGGCCAGGTGGTTAGGGCACTCGACTCGCAAGCTGAGGGTCGCGAGTTCGAATCTCCGTCCCACCAAACATGCTTGCCTCTTTCAGCCGTGGGGGCGTTATAACGTGGTGTTCAATCCCACTATTCGTTGTTAACAAGTAGCCCAAGAGTTGGCGGTGGGTGGTGATGACTAACTGCCTTCCCTA